CTCAAATTCCAAAGCCGGTGCTTATCGCCATGGCTACCCGAATCCATCAAGTTCGGCACATCTGCATCGGCGACGTGCACCGACTGATCCGTTGCTCAAGGAATCCGAACTCTGTCCGTTTTGGAGCGAAAAGCGTCATGGACGGTTGATGAGGTCTCGAACAGTGCCAGTCAGGTCGTTTGCACCACCTAGTTCCCATCCGCTCCTGAACGATCTACCAAACATCCTTGTCTATCACGGGCAGCTCAGGAGCGGCGTTACAGCAGAGCAACGCGCACTTTTCTTTGCACGATGAACTTCCCTGACTGTCGTACCCCGTTTTCCTTTCTTTGGACGTGGAGGGACCGCGTAAAGGGCCGCAGGTCGCTTATATTACAACGAGGTGGAAGCCGAAGTGTGCAGGACGATAGTCAGCGCTTGCGAGCCCGACGTATCGAAGGTTCGTCAATATGTATCCTGCTTCTAAAAGGAGCAGTTGCGCATGCTGATGCCATTCGCCCAGAGAAATCAGGTGGAGCTAGCCACGGTCGCCTCAATCCAGGACCGCGAAAAGGAAGACAACTCGCACGACATAAGCCCCACTTCCGCGGAGTATCTCAACGAGTACAAACGACTAGATGTCGCTCTGACCCGATCCAGGCACGATATGTTTGTCTTAGGGCACATCGAATCCCTTTGGCAGATACCCATCCCTCGTGGGCTGACGGGCGCCATGCAATCACTCCCACCAGTATCTTCCCGTCGAATGATGACGAGCAGCTTTCTGGTGTGAATATTTAAGACTTTTCCAATGTGCAGTAACTGGTATACGGTCTGCTGACCAAGCAGTCATCAACTATCTAGGTGAGCACTAGTTGATTCTGCATTTACCTTTGTAGCTCTTGGTTCTCTGACGCATTAAACATCTTTTCTAAGTCTTGACGCCGTTTTTGACAGGATAAAATTACCTATGCATCCGACAATTCCAGACTCTGGAAAAGGCGATATAGCCGAAACATCAGTCAATAAAGAAGTTACTAATCTCGGTGTGCAGCTCAAGCAGTCTCAAGAAGCAATCGAACGATACCGAGATTGAGCGACGGTAGAAATTGGATAATGTTCAGTTTGCTTTTATTTTCAGTTTGCTCTTATTTATTTGCGTTTATTTCACCTTTTTGCTTTCACCTCCCTTTTTCTACCCAACCAATCTTACTTGATGCTCTCGAGGAGATTCTCCGATGCCGAGCCGCCGAGTGGACGCTCACGACTCCTCTTTTCCCATCTTCTTTGGGTCATAGCCGTACCACCAGCGCTTAGCAGTGGCGTACCGAGGGGGGGGGGCGGGGGGGGGGGGGCGCCCCCCCCCCGAGAATGGGTCGCGAAATTTTTGAAAGTTACTTATATGGGTTATAAAAATGTGCAAGTGACTTGTTTATTTTTGTAAATAATTAAAATAATTTTTAAAAATTTTTGAAAATTCAAATTAGCCTTGTAAAAAAATTTTTTTCGGGGGCATGGCTGACACCACGCCCCCTTTTTCCAGATTTTAGGGGTCGGGGACCCGCAAAAATTTTGAGAAGCACCCCCAAAATTTTTTCGGAGTGCGTGGCTAACGCCACGCACCTTCTTTAGAAAAAAATTTTTGTCGCGCCCCCCCCCCCCCGAGCCGAAATCCTGGGTACGCCACTGGCGCTTAGGTATAGGCGTTTCCCATGCGTATAGCGGGCGTGGCCGTGCAGACATTTGAGACATTTGAACACGTTGAGAAACTTGTTGAACCTCCGCTCTAAAGCATTTTTGTACTCTTTAGCTGCCAAAAACTGCCACGCGCATACGTTGGCAAACGTCGGCAAAGCTCCGCCCGCTATACTGTGGGAAAAGGACGATACACTGATCTCTCTTTTATGACCTATTTACCTGTTATACATGTCTGTTCATAAATTGGTATTACTTATATTGTTTCCTCCACATTTGCTGCTACCCTTGGACTGCGTCTCAGACCTGCCACGTCTGGCTAACATGTTGGCGACGTGGCAACAACATGTTTGTAACATGGCACAACATGTTGACAGGACATTTTGGCCACGCCAACATGTTGCTGCATGTTGCCAACGTGTTGCTGCCAACGTTGCCAACGTGTTAGCCACGCGTGGCCGTCCGGGCGGTAGCAGCAAATGTAGAAGGGTAGCAGCAAATGCGGAAGAGACGATATGTTTGGTGCTATACATCTTATTGGTGCTGTAATAAGATATATTGATACGGGTCGGTGTCTCTACCACTATGCCAGCCGTTTCCGCGGCGCCGTGCTTACCATTGTACATATTCTAGATTGAGTTCCTTACGACATACATATAAAGGCAGGGAGAAGTTGACATCTTATATATAAAGCTGAATGTCTGTTTGTCTGTATGTCTGTATGTCTGTATGTCTGTATGTATGTACGTATGTTCCGAATAGAAAATTCCATTTCTGAACCGATCCGGACCAAACTTGGCACACATACACTTCGGGCCCCGGCGCGTGTCATAGGCTACTTTTCGTCATCGATCGATATCGATTTTATCAATTTTTATCGATTTTTTTGCTGAGTTCACCTACGGGGCTGGGAGTTGGCACACGGGGGTAATCGAGCATGGGGATTCCGAATACAATATTGGTTTTCAGGACTATCGATTACTTTTATCGATTTTATCGATTTTTTTGCAAAGTTTGAGCTACGGGGCTGGGAGTTCGCACAGGGGGTAATCGAGCATGGGGATTCCGAATACAATCTTGGTTTTCGGGATTATCGATTACTTTTATCGATTTTATCGATTTTTTTGCAAAGTTTGAGCTACGGGGCTGGGAGTTCGCACAGGGGGTAATCGAGCATGGGGATTCCGAATACAATATTGGTTTTCGGGATTATCGATTACTTTTATCGATTTTATCGATTTTTTTGCAAAGTTTGAGCTACGGGGCTGGGAGTTGGCACAGGGGGGTAATCGAGCATGGGGATTCCGAATACAATATTGGTTTTCAGGACTATCGATTACTTTTATCGACTTTATCGATTTTTTTTTGCAAAGTTTGAGCTACGGGGCTGGGAGTTCGCACAGGGGGTAATCGAGCATGGGAATTCCGAATACAATATTGGTTTTCGGGATTATCGATTACTTTTATCGATTTTATCGATTTTTTGCAAAGTTTGAGCTAGGGGGCTGGGAGTTGGCACAGGGGTGTAATCGAGCATGCTGATCACCCCCCCTTGGGGATGATCAGCATGCTCGATTACCCCCCTGTGCCAACTCCCAGCCCCCTAGCTCAAACTTTGCAAAAAAATCGATAAAATCGATAAAAGTAATGGACGATCTTGAAAACTAATATTGTATTCGTAATCTGCATGCTCGATTACCCCCTGTGCAAACTCCCAGCCCCGCAGGTCAAACTTTACAAAAAAATCGATAAAATCGATAAAAGTAATGGACGATCTTGAAAACTAATATTGTGTTCGTAATCAGCATGCTCGATTACCCCCCTGTGCAAAATCCCAGCCTCGCATATCAAATACAAAAAATCGATAAAATCAATAAAAGTAATCGATAATTCTGAAAACTAATATTGTATTCGGAATCCCCATGCTCACTTCCCCCCCCCTGTGCCAACTCCTAGCCCTGTAGGTGAACTCTGCAAAAAAATCGATAAAAATCGGTAAAATCGACATCGATCGATAACGAAAAGTGGACTGTGACACCCGCCGGGGCCCGAAGTGTATGTGTGCCAAGTTTGGTCCGGATACGGCGGAGCCGGGTAAGCCAGCTAGTTTCTTATAAGCGTCAGAAAGAACTCGTAAAGATCTGGCGGGATCGCAAGGGAATTCCCTTAGAGCCGGCTGATGCTGGTCTCTGCCCTTAGCTCAACTTTGCAAAAACGATAAATTCGATATAGGTAATCACTGATAACGAAAACTAACATTGTGCTCAGAAAGTCAAAATCGATCAAAACGATTAATGCAGAATATTTTTTATTTCGCACACACATAAATACATACATACAGATACTCAGCTTCATTACAAGATACAAACAGACATTCAACTTCATAGATAAGCTATATTCCTCCAGAAAATTGAAGACCTTGAGTACGTGTCGTAATAAAACTTATATAATCAACACTTTCTCAAAGAAAACTCTACAGACGTAGTGTTTGTATGGTTTAAAGGCAGTGGCTCGGCAAATCTCAACTAGTCAAATTTGCGCTTACTTGGGGCTTTTCAAAACGCTGATTCCGAAAATCCACTTTTGAAAGCTTGAAAACGGCGAAAATGAGCGTTTTTTAATGCCCTTCCCTTTGATATTGGACGAGTGAAGCAAGGCCGATGAAGCTAAATCGTGGCAGGACCCAATGGTTATAGCGTTGCGGCGGGCAGCCTCCAATGGTGAGAAGGAAATTGCTAACTCGTCCAAATGCGTGTAAGATTGGCCTGCGCGTGTAAGTTCGATAGCGATTTTCTCGGCAGGGAAAGCATGCTATGCAACCGGTATTGCACTGTTTTCAGTTATGTTTTTTAGTTGGGCGATAAGGAACCTACCGCGCTAAAATCCCGAGTTGTTGGATTTTGCCGATCCACTGCCTTTAAAGATGATGAATGATAAACGTTTATATGTGTAGTTCTCTTGAAGACACTTTGATATTGTAATTGCTTATAAGATTTATAAATGAGTGGCAAAACCTCTATACTAACTTTGTGCATACAGCATGCACAAGCGAAATTCGCGGGAAACGTTAATGTGAGATTCAACCATTACAGCTTAGTGGTAAACACGTAAAATTTTAAGCTTAGAAATTAGAAGGTCATTTCACACTCTACATTCGTGTAGAGCGGGAGGGTCTACAAGAGAATGAAACAACTATCTTCGCTACAACAAATTCGCTCGCGGTTCTACCACACATCCTTATGAGAACGCGGTGTTGTGGACCTCGCAAATCTCAACTGCTTCTCATTAGGCGCCCAGATATCTCATAAACTCAACAAACAAGAAATTCATTCTTGACAGTGAATGAAGACTTTGATAACGTCCACCATTTGTGCTCTTTGAAAGGCCTCCTCTGCTTCATTTAATTTATAATGCGCCTTTGTGAGCCCTGTCAAATCGATTCGTCTTGATGCGATAAGATTCAATGCTGTCGGATAGCTTAATCGTTTTTTTTTTGAGATAAATGATGTTTATAAATTTTTTGACCCACCAGTTCGCATATCTGAAAACACCCCTGATGTCCACCTCCCTTAGACAGGAGTCTATGATAGGCAGATCAATCCGCGGCGCACCAAGACCAACCATAACAATCACTCCTCCAGAGCGGGTGCTCTGTAAAAAAATCGTAGAACAAGGGTTATACATTAGGGAACTGAAGGCTTTGTAGCTACCAAGATAGATGACTCCATGCAAGCCTGAGCTCCAGTGCATTCGATGGTCGCATCGGGTTCACATTGTGAGCAATCGATTACGGCTTCTTGAACGTCCAACAACGACATGCCTCTATAAAATGATAAATAGCTTTCCATAGGGTGTAGGCGGGTAGAGGACATTAGGTCGCCGAAAGGGAGGTCCCACAGACATAAGCAACAAATACGCGCCTCTATGTATTAGGCTGATAATTTAATTTTGCAACTTCTTCCACAACTTCTTATTTATTTATTTATTTTGTACGCCAGGCGGCGCGCTTCAATACAACAAATCAGATCAGAACAGGGTGTAAAACGACAAATCCATAGAAAACATGAAAAGAAAGAAAAAAACCAACGAAGGAACAATCGTATTGAAATGAATAAGTCATCTCGGTATATCCAAATTTTGGTAGTGCTGAGATTATGATGAGATTATGAGCTATAAATGCAGTAATTTGTTTCAAATCTGGTGATTCATGCATGGGCCACGGTAGGTGTACGGTAAAAGTTTCAGGAATCGTCCCAGATCGTTACAGTTCCAGCTGAAACCTGGTCTAGAGGGGTTTCTCGACACGCTAATCACGAAAACCATACCTATTTTGCACAATGCTTCCTTAGTGAGGTCACAAAACCTCAGCTTGCGTCAAGTTAATATGATAGTCGTATTCAGCATGTAGAAATACCCCATAATGCAAAGCCTTTATGAGAGTTCGCTCACTAGTTATTGATGGATGTTGGCGGAAATTTCGGTGGTTTTGGAAAAATGCTTGGATCCTTCCTATTTCGCTATCAAAAATCAAACTATTTGTGCTCACTTGTAGCTCACATTGGAGTCTACATAATGTTAGGCTCTGAGCGCGCCATATTCAAACAGGAAAAAGCTATGGAGGAAGTTGCAAAATTTCAACAACCTGATATTATAACTCGTGCCAGCTGTCCGCGGAGCCCATCGGCGACCTAAGTGGGTTCATACTGACCCGTAAATCCCACATCAGTTCCAGCACAGCGCACAATTCGAGTGCTGTGCTGGAACTGTCCCGGAACTTACGGATCAGTATGAACCCAGTCTAATCTTCTCTACGCGGTTTGGGGCCAATTTGCATCAACATATGCTGTTAGAACATTTTCGCAGAGGACCGCCGTAGCGCGGGCTCTGCGAACGAAAGCCGTCAGTTTGAGCAGCCTTTCGCGGCCAACTGGTCCTTTCGCAGTGTTGTTGCATGTCGTTCCAGGACCAGCAGTCCGCGGAGGCGTACCAAACTCCGGCTTTCGTTCCCCTACCCCCTTTGCTTACAAGGGAAGTCACTCAACTTAGGTCGGCCTTTTGGAATGAGACACATATAGTTGCGATCAGCTTGAAACGCTGATTTCAAATCTGCTTTCCATAGCTGCGAAGCATTGCTCTGAAGAGAGTTACGTGCTTTTTCTTGAGCAAACTTTGCGTGTTGACCGACTTAGGCATGCTACGGTATCATCATCTAAGTAGTGTCAAATGCATACTACACCCTATCAAAGCCAAGTGACTCAATTTGATGTTATTTCAATCTTCCACCACCTTTTTACCATATTTTCATCGAAAAGCCCTCTTTCCATATTTTATATGTCAATGACACATACTAAAACAGCAGCTCGCTTCAGAGGAACGCTTCGCAGCTAAGGACATAATATTTGGAATCAGCGTTCCGAGCTGATTCCAAATATATGTGTCCCATTTCAAAAGGCCGACCTAAGTTAAGTGACTTTCCTTGTTAGTTACTAGGGTAAGGAAAAGTGTTAGTTACTAGGGTAAGGAGAAGTTTTTTTTCGCGCGACTTGTTCAGTCAGACGAGGTGGTATAGGACACTGTCGTGCAAAACGGTCATCTCCCTTTTTACCGCAATCTTACTTACTTGACACAAATAACATGGTCAGCTCCAAGTGTCTTTGCAAGTGCTAAGCGATTTTGGTCCAAGTCCGTCATTACCACCTGTGTTGCTCCCATTGCTTTTGCTATCATCATACATAACGTTCCTATTGGTCCTGAAATATTCAAAGTGATGTGACTGTAAGGGATTTATCCCCTTGAAATCCGGACCTGCTCCTTGCACCAAGATGCTTTGTCCCATTTCGATGTTCGCTCGTCGACAGGCATGAACACCGACAGACAAAGGTTCAAGAAGGGCAGCTTCCTCGAAGGTGACACAGTCCGGTAATCTACAATCCAAATTTGTGTGTAATTTAGACTGAGGCGGGAAAGCGCAATTTTTCTACAAAAGACAGTTTTAAAGATTTTTAGCATTTTGATCATTACAAACAACAGCTTTTTTGAGTTTTAACGAGTGTCAGGGGTAGTATCAGATTGAAACTTCGATAATTTGTTGGATTTACATAGTAGCGTGGGGTACCCAGGATTTCCGTTCGAGGGAAGGGGGAGGGGGCAGGGATCAGAGGTGGCGCTTTCACACGCTGGTTGTCGTTTTCTGAGAGAAAATCAAAAGGGAACTCGTAAAGTTTTCAAGACTGATTAGCGGAAATCTGACTAAATATTGGTGGGCGAAAGCTAACCTTTAGTAAGCCCTTATTCAACTCCGACTTCACTTCACAAGTAAAAGGTAGATTAATATTACATACAGGATAAGTGCTCAGACAGGTGTGCACACGATTTCAACGTGTTAAAACATCTTTATGCACAAAAAATAAATAATCAGCTTGTACAACCGCTAAACAAAATTGAGCCACCAAATTTGGTGCGTAGCTTTGCGACCACGATCAAAAGGAAAGTATGAAAAATTCTGAAAAAAATTATGTGAATGAAAAGAGTTGTAGTTGCTCTTCGATTTAGGTTGTTCCCGCGCAACCTGGGAACACCCTGAGGTTGCGCGGAACCACACAAAGCTATATTTTCTTCCTTCTTCACATAATTTTTCAAAGTTTTCTATATAAATCTATTCTTCAATTCGAAATATACCTATGTATACTTATCTTACAAATTTCGTCCCCTCTGCTTTGCTACGGCCCTTGAATGATACAAAAACCGCTTTTTTACGTGTTGTTTATCTCCGATATTCCTTGTCTGTTTTTGACTTCCATTCACTCATAGTTCGCTATAGCTTATTAGCCGTAATTCTACAAACTCCACAAAAGGTCTTTCGTAATCTTCTGCCGTGTCAAGGGGGACTTCGTTCATAAACTCCTCAAACGCCACCTCGTGATGGGTTCTGGGGGAGGGGGAGGGACAAAAATTTTTTTCTGATGAAAAAACTCCGAAGAATTTTCGGTATGCTTCCCAAAATTTTTTGGGCCCCTTACCTCAAAATTTCAGAAAAAGTTTTTCTGTAAGACAAAATTGAATTTTCAAAAAATTCAAACAATTATTTCAGTTATTTACAAGTATAAACATGTCACATGCACATTTTACTACTTACATAAGTAACTTTAAAAAATTTTGCTACCCATTCTCGGGGAGGGGGGGGGGCCTCCGCCTCCCCCCTCGGTACGCCACTGACTGATACTAATTTTTCGTATATTCATGCTTTACATCCGTCCATGCTACATTTTGTCCCTCAGCCGCGTCTTCCCTTTACCATATTTTGAGTGATTTACGTCTCAACGAGAATTTTATCAGCTTACTGCGAACGATTGTGAGCTAATCGGCTAGAAGTCCTAAAATATGGCAAGGTGTACAAACATGAATTTTCTTACTT